TTAAGATGTAGACTTTAACATAAGTCCACAAAGGTGACTTCATGGTAAATCTACACCTTGTAGACTTCTCTCTATTAACTGTAGACTTTCGAATGATATAAACGTAAAATAATTTTTTGGTTTTTTGTTTAGAAAGGTAATTTTCATATTCTTTTAGGTTAGTTTTGTATTTGAATAATGGGTCTATATTTGTACTTCAAATAATTTTTTGGGATAGTTTTGACAAATGTCCATTTACTTTTTAATCCGGATATTTGCTTCGTTCTATATATAATAAATAAAAATAAGACTAAAATTAATATAAAATAATAAAATATTATTATCAAAAGAAAATTTTAGCTCTAGTAACTATAATAAATAAAAATATAATAAACTTACGTAAAATATCATAATTATATAATATATATAATTTTATATATATATATATATATATATATATATATATATTACGGATCAGATATACAGTTTAAAAAATATTAATATTTATGATTTGATTTTTTTACTACATGTATGGCATACTAATATTGTTTTCCTTTGTAAAGTAACAGATATCCAAATTTTTATGTTCGAATTGAAATAAGATAATGAGTCAAATTAAAATTTACAGATATTTTGTCTAGTATAAAAGACGCCGAATTACCAACGCAAAATAGTAAGCCTCGAGATAAGTGATTGTATAAATATAAAAAATCAGCAACAAAAACATTAGGTCATAACTTCGGTTAAATACGTTTTTTAGTTTTTAATTAAGAAAAACTAAGAACCGATTTTTAAATAAGAGATATAAGAACCAGCTCTTAGCCAAAAAGTGTTAAAATAAAGTGTCAAATCATAAACGTAGAACCCCACTTCTAAGAATCCCCAATAAACATGTCTTTATGTGCCTTTTGAATAATACCAAACACTAAATCCTTAAAGACAGTCTAGGTCAAGCACAAAGAATGTATGGCCATAACCAAAATGTTCTCTCTTGAAGACGCGTAGTACATCCCATGACAAAGTAATAAGCAACGAGATAAGTGACTGTAACCATAAGCCGACAAAAATAGTGTACATTTAAACCTAACCTAAATCACACAAAATAGCATGTAGTATCTGCATTTACAGAGATTGGTGAAAAGGAAAAAGGTAGATGTTTCGTTGCTAATAAAGGATACAACCTAAATGTTTTTGGTGTTTAGTTGCAGAGTGACTTCAGTGAAGCCAATAAATAATCGAAAAGATCGAATGCAAAACACAGCTTTGGCAAAGAGTGGAAGAAAAGAAGGAAAGATTATATTAATGTTTATGTTTTGAGAGATGAATACTAAAGGAACAACATAATCCATCAAGTCTAATGGCATGGATTATCAGCGGGTGACTCCAATAATGTGTCTGCATGATTCCTGAGGAAAGTAAAAAAGGATTCAACAAGGTTGTTTATGAATAACTAAACAAACGGTATAGAGTTCGATTATGGTTATAAAGATTTTAATTTCAGGATTCTACATGTTAAGCCATTAAGGTTAGTCCTTTCAACTTAACCAATTTGCCAAAGCTTAACTCTTTTGTGGATATTTTCTCGAAATAAATGACAAATAACTTACGGGATGATGGTTCAATCAAAGCGGTCAAGTTTCTACAAACTATTTTATGCTGTAAAGTTGTAAATGTAAGCTAAGTGCCATATAACAATGTACATTATAGAATAGTGTATATCGAACAGTTCTCACTCAATCGGCATCCACAACTAACCTCTTAAAATTTTGTGGTTTCTAGAAAAGTTTCTATAAGGGTTTTTAGCACTAAAAATTAGAAAAGAAAAGAGAGAGAAATAAAATTTATCAATAGAGAAACTCTTGCACAATTTTGAAAGATTCAATTATCACATAACAATTGTGTAATGATTCATTTTATTTAAAAATGATTGATTATATATGTTAAGACACTATTGAAATCTCTTACCACTAGTGATGCCCTTAGCTCTGTTCGTTTACAAGATGCACTGCGTCAGGGCTTGCGGCCAAAACCTAAACATCAAAACAAACAAAATGATAGTGGAAAACTAATTAAGCTTGACGCTGCGATTACTTTTGCGAAGGTTTCCGATGTTGTCGCAGACGCTGTTAAAAGTAGCGGCAGTTAGATGGTCGCTGTGATTATTTTTCATAGGCAAAAGCATCGCCGCCGGTGTTACTCTCCAGATGCATAAACAAGAAAACAGTTATACATTTGGGCGCAATTGCAGCCTTGCGCGTCTTGTAAACGAACAGAGCTAGACAAGTTATCCACTAAAAGACAATTACAAGAAATAAAATAGTTTTGATAAAATAATGTAAGGGTTGATACCATTTAAGCATTACAAACAAAACAAGTAATCAGATCACCAACATATTTTTTCCAAAAAAAAAGAAAAAATATTTACAAGAGATTCTTGAAAGGAACACATTTTTGGCATGATGGTGTATGGGACAATATATGGTAACAGAGAATGCAACGTAAGAAGGCGAGCTTCACAAGTATTCTCTTAGACACTACGTGGAATAACACACAGAAACACGCCGAACTGGGAATTGCTCAGTACGTTACTAAGTTCCAATAGAAGGCAACAGTTGAAAACCGTTAATTGGACATGATCTTTTGTTTGCAGAATATTAAAACACTTACGACAAATACTGTAGTTGAGGAAGGTGTCCTCTTTACTTTTACTCTCTCAGCAACAGTTTCCAAATTTGGCTTACTATCAAAATCAGCCAAAGATGCAGCCATGTAGGCACTATCGCGAGATAAGTACATTCAACATCAGCAGGTTCGCACCAAATTTTTGTCATGAGTTTATAGTCACTATTTTGTGGTTATACGATTATAGTCTACCTACAAGTGCTTACGCGTCAGTACCTACACCAACCCAAAATCAACAAAAATACAATAGCCGACAGCTAATGCAAAAATGCAAGGTATCAACTTCACTACTATACCCAAATACAGAAAATAATGTACTGCTTTTAATGAATTTTCTTTTCTTTTCTTTGGAGAACGCTACTTTCATAAGCCTCAAAGTTTTATATATTCTATTTCTAGCTATTAAATCATACCTGTCCCAAATGATTTATTTTCTACTTATTTCATAATTGATAATATAATTGGCATATGCCTTCAGAGAAACTAAGCTTCCTAAATATGAAGAGAAACTTCTGGTGTTACAGTCACGCCTTCTCAGCTGTATAAAAACAACTCTTCTCTACTTGCCACCTTTTACCGTAATCTAATTATGAAGCATCAAGCCAGCAACCAACAAAACATCATAGTCTATACTATTCGGCACAATCAAATTGATCAGTAAATAGTGAGTTATACTGTGCATTGTCATATACACACGCCAGAAGTACCAAACAACAAAAAACATCACCCTTAAATGGATGAGACCTTAGTTGCTTTGCTTGGGATCTGGAAGTTGTTACAACATGTAAATGTCATGTCAGCAGCTGGACACAGTTATATTCCATCAAAAATTCTTTGCTTGAAGCCTCAAACAGTGTACGAAAATACGTTGGTGGTTACAAAAAAGTAAATGCTATCTATACCAAACACAGTCTTATCACAAAGAATGGATGTCCATAACCAATGTGCTTTCCTATGAAGACGCTTAATATACGTCCCAACTTCGACGAGGTACACGATTGTAACCATAAGCCGTCAAAAACAATTGCACAGTTAAGTTTAACCTACTAGATCACACAAAAACATATCATTTGCAGAGATGGGTAGGAAAAATCAAGATAATTAACATATCCGTGAGTTGTAGATATGGAGCAAAACTAAAGATTTTTGGTGTTTTATTGCAGAATGATCCAGGAATACCATTGAACTTACTATATAATGTTTTAATTAGAGCCGTTGAGCTTCTTGAGACTATCTTTTTCTGAAAAGTTGGAAACTTTTATTACCTGTAATTGTAAGCCAACTGACCACAAAACACTGTACATTGTACAGTATCCAAACAGATTTTAAGTAAATATAACAGTTCTTGCTTTGTCGGCAGCACAAGTATAGCCTCTTTACCCCTGAAGCATAAGTATTGTTCACGATCAATTCCAGTATCATAAATCCAAGGTAGAATCCACTACATAAGTCTTTCACGTAAAGACAACAACAGTTATAATCGTTGTCAAAAACCGGGACATACCATTAAGCACTACCAACAAAACAGCAAATCACATCACCCAAAATCAATATTTCTTCCTAACACATTTTTTTCACTAGAGACTCTTGAAAGTAAAACTTTCCTTTTAGCATGAGTGTGTTTGGAAGTATGTGGTAACCGAGAACGAACGCAGAGTAAGAAACGAGTTTGGCATAAGGGTTCTCTCTGCATTCACATGGAAAAAACAAACAGCAACACGCCGAAATGGGAATAGCTTAGTAAGTTACTACCCAAAAAAAAGGCAACAGTATAAAACGTTAATTTGACAAGCAGAGC